GTTGAAAAGGATTTCCGACAGGCTTCCTTCCCAATCACCGCGATGGTTATTGAGCCATTCCTTCATTGTTCTGTTGAACCTTTCAGTCATTCCGTTGGCCTGCGGATGGTAGGGGGACGTTATTGTTCGTTTGATGCCCCAGCGCTCTAAGGTCTCCCGAAAAGTCTTGGATTCGAAACACGGTCCCTGGTCGGTAATGACATTTTCCGGGATACCGAATCGTGCAACCACGTTGTTTATGAATATCCGGGCAAGGTGTCCTACACCGTAGCATCTGAAACATCGCTTTGGCCGAACTTGAGCCCTGGAACGTCTCCTTCCCTGTAATCCGCCTTTCAATTCCTCCTTCAGTCTTCCGATTTCTTCGAATATTTGTTCAATCTTATCTTCAGTTTCAGCAGCCTCCACCCGAGCAACCAAATCATCATTTTGGCAGGCTTGCACAATGGAAATTAGGCCCTCCGCATCATTCACTCCGCACGCCAACGCAAGTCTCAGTTTGTCTTTCACCTGTGCCGGCATGCTTTGTATGAACCGGTCTTTGGCAAGCCTCTCCCGTGTTTCGTTATTCGCCTCTGGCAGGCCCAGGGAAATTTGTCGCTTGATGTATTGGTAGTGTGCCAACGGGTCTTCAGTTCGGTTGTACTCCGCAGCGTAAAACCGGTTCATCGCCTTCTCGCGGTCACCCTCCTTTGAAAATTCTGCCACCAATGCAGATTTTAAATTCTCATAATTTAGGGCTCGGTTGCTTTCCAAATTCAAGTCGTAAGCGGCCCTCGCTCGTCCGGTGAGCAGTGACCCCAACGCGGTGACCATGTGCGCACTCCCTTTGATGCCGTTGCACGATGCGATTAATTCAAAATCGCGAATCCATTTCTCCACATCTCCGTCTGCAAACACGTTTGGCCAGGGTAGCTTCATTGCGTTGTGCTGACTTGGGCGACGGCACCACTGTAACGAGAAGGCGAGCTGGCTGGGAAAACGTCTATTGATCCAATTCAAAAACAAACAGTGTCTACGTTCGATTATATACAGTCAATTCTGAACCGCGCGGCGGAATGATTCATGCCTCTTTCTGTGGATTATTCGTTGTTGGTCTTGGTCCGCACTTGGCACGTACGTTGGCTTTTCTTCCGCGTGCCATTCCGACTGGTTTGACCCGATCGCGGCGCGAGATGCGTTGATCGACAGCTCCGACGTTGTGGCATTCGGTGGGTATCTTTCCCGTTAGCTGCGGGTTGTCTTTCGGGCTGTAATTGTCGATTCACTCGTTTCGGGTGGCAGTCAACATTGTCTCGCGAGGCACTTCTCGCCACTGCGTCTGTGCGTCTGGTCGGATGGGCCCCATTCTTGCTTCGGTCGCTAGCCAGGACTCTCTTTGAACTGCCTTCCATCACAATATCACTCAGTATCTTTAATCACCGGTTACGACCATCTCGAGCTCCCTAAACGGGTGAGTCTAACGTGACGGAATATCCTGGTTAGGGTTTTCCATACCCTCGTAACAGGTCTGAGTTTGACCACCCTTGGCTTTTTTTCACCCATCACCATGCGTAACATATGTCACATGGCTTGCATCCAATGAAGTGAACCATGGTTCATGATCGGAATAAACAGTGGATTTGTTAAAGGTCTCACTTGCTCTCTAATTTCGTTTTCACTTGCTCCCGTTTTGCTCAGGATCACCAAATTCCGTTTCCGTATTGAGTCCGTCAATGCCCGGGTCACATTGCTCGCCAGTGAGTTTGACCACAACGAACAGAACCGAGTCGGACAGTGTGCGGCTTAATATCTATGCATTGCTTCTGCGTCTCGGATTTGCTGGTCAAGATCATTTGTCCACGGAGGACAAGATCACACTGAAAACGATTGAACGGTATTTTGATCTGAAGGTACGGTTGGGTGAAACAAGATTACCAATATTCTGTCTCTCTCTCAGCAAGGTAATCATGTACTACGAAATGGTTTTAACTTTCGATGGGTCTCACTACTGAACTCCTGTTTTCATGGTTCAGTTTTAATCGCAAGTAGTTGGATGATAAGTGCAAGAAAAAAATTGATAAATTTTCTCCGGGAATACTCGCGAATCTCCGTGATTTTTCACAGACAGGACCGTTGGGACGGAGACCCGGAGTAGAGAACCTGTTTGATCAACCCCTTCTTTGTGTGTTCAGTTTTCTCATCATTCTTTCAATCATTTGGGAAACCTCTTGTGCCCAGTTTTCTGAGTCACTTTCTGATCCCATCAGCGTAGCTCGAGGAGTTCTACAGGGATTCGTACTTGGCACACAACTATTTTTTTTTAAGTTTTCATAAACAACCTTACATACATTCTGGGGCCACAAACAGTATTGTTTGCAGACGATGCAAAAAAATATGGAAAACAGTGACAGGACTCGGAGGCACTTCAAAGAACACGTATTACTGCTTATCAATGGTCGATCGTAAAAGACATGGAGTTTAACGCATCAAAATGTACGATAGTATCCTTTCATCACAAAACTCGGTTTTCGAATTTTCTGGAAAATGAACAACTACCGTATGTCTCCAATGAGAAGGATCTCGGTGTCATTGTTAA